CACCTACACCCATCCACCATAGCCAACCACCTTGCACCTTCTTCCTCCACCATCGCCTACACCCATCCACCATAGCCGACCACCTTGCACCTTTTTCCTCCACCTTCACCTACACCCATCCACCATAGTCAAGCACCTTGCATCTCCTTCCTCCACCTTCACCTACACCCATCCACCCTAGCCAAGCACCTTGCATCTCCTTCCTCCACCTTCACCTACACCCATCCACCCTAGCCAAGCACCTTGCATCTCCTTCCTCCACCTTCACCTACAACCATCCACCATAGCCAAGCACCTTGCACCTCCTTCCTCCACCTTCACCTATGACCATCCACCATGGCCAACCACCTTGCACCTTCTTCGTCCTTCTTCACCTACGCTCATCCACCATAGCCAACCACCTTGCACCTTCTTCCTCCACCTTCACCTACACCCATCCACCATAGCCAACCACCTTGCACCTTCGTCCTCCACCTTCACCTACACCCATCCACCATAGCCGGCCACCATGCACCTTCTTCCTCCACCTTCACCTACGCCCATCCACCATAGCCGACCACCTTGCACCTTCTTCCTCCACCTTCACCTACGCCCATCCACCATAGCCAAGCACCTTGCACCTTCCTCCTCCACGTTCACCTACACCCATCCACCATAGCCAACCACCTTTTACCTTCTTCTTCCGCCTTCACCTACACCCATCCACCATAGCCAACCACCTTGCACCTTCTTCCTCCACCATCACCTACACCCATCCACCATAGCCGACCAACTTGCACCTTCTTCCTCCACCTTCGCTTACACCCATCCACCATAGCCAAGCACCTTGCACCTCCTTCCTCCACCTTTACCTACACCCATCCACCATAGCCAAGCACCTTGCACCTTCCTCCTCCACCTTCACCTACACCCATCCACCATAGCTAACCACCATGCACCTTCTTCCTCCACCTTCACCTGCACCCATCCACCATAGCCAAGCACCTTGCACCTCCTTCCTCCACCTTCACCTATACCCATTCACCATAGCCATCCGCCTTGCCCGGATGTCCAAAGGACAACGCAGAACACCTTGCACCTTCTTCCTCCACCTTCACCTACGCCCATCCACCATGGCCAAGCACCTTGCACCTTCTTCCTCCACCTTCACCTACGCCCATCCGCCATAGCCAAGCACCTTGCACCTTCCTCCTCCACCTTCACCTACACCCATCCACCATAGCCAACCACCTTGCGCCTTCCTGCGCCACCTTCACCTACACCCATCCACCATAGCCAACCACCTTGCACCTTCTTCCTCCACCTCGACCTACACCCATCCGCCATAGCCAACCGCCTTGCACCTTTTTTCTCCACCTCCACCTACAACCATCCACCATAGCCAACCACCTTGCACCTTCTTCCCCCGCCTCCACCTACACCCATCCACCATATCCTACCACCTTGCACCTTCCTTCTCCACCTCCACCTACACCCATCCACCATAGCCAACCACCTTGCACCTTCTTTCTCCACCATCTACTTCCGCCACCCTAGGGTTGTAGGCAAGGGGAGGGCTCCAAGGGGCACGAGGGACCTTAGGTAGGCCGGTATGATGAGTAAAGTAGTAAGGTTGATTAGGATAGGAAATTGCTCTCTCTCTCTCTCTCTCTCTCTCTCTCTCTCTCTCTCTCTCTCTCTCTCTCTCTCT